TTCTCCCTTCCAGTCCCTGTCATTTTCGTCATGTACAGCAGTTAAACACCAGAGTTGAGGATTCAGACTTCATGCACCACATACCAAATCTCATATCTGCCTTTACTTTTAGAGATAATGTAGACATAATACAAATATGTTTTTTTCCCAGTATTTTTCTAACGCTTTAGAATTCTAGCAACAGCAATAAGGTGGTACTTAAGCCTGTGTCTATAGGGTATGGAAAAAGAATTGAAGTCTTTGCTAATAACAGTTACTACAGGTCAGGGTTTGTCAATGTATTGACCATAAGTATTTTGAAGAAACAGGGAGAATAAAATCTTTTCTCTCATAGTTAAGTTGTAATAATCCCTCTAATACATTGCTTTGTATAATATATATGTGTAGTTACAACACTAGAACACAGTTTAAAATTATGTCATGGTTGGTTTTTGTAGGCCTGTATGCAAATGTATGTTATAAATCTGATTTCAGAGTTCTTGTAAAAACTTCTGCCATCATTGGAATAAAAAGCTGTGGTTTTTATTTTTTTACTCATTTCTAAATATTTTTCAATGACTGTAAATTAACATAGCAATTAGATAAACCTTCCTAGACAAGGATAAAGTTCTAACAACCAGAATGGTAACTGTCTGGGTATGCATATCAGTGTAAAATCAGAGACCTGGGAAAAGCTAGCAAAGTACATAATTACCTTTATTTGAAATTAATGCCATGCTCATTTTTAAAACAGACTCTTCATATAAACAAGTCACCACAAGGCAGTAATTATATTTTTTGCTGTTTAAAGTTGTTCTTGTGGTGAAGGGGGAAAAAAATTAAAAAAGCACAAAACTTAATTCCTTTGCAAGCCATAGCATATAAACCAGAAGTTGACCTGTTTTTTCCCCTTGTGTAAAGCTGTTACACCATCCAAGATTGTTGCATCTTTTCACCACATCATCAGTCCATAGATGAGAAGAATCAGCTTGGTAATAAAGCTTTTGATGCAAGCACTGACTGCTCTATCACCGACTGCTGTGCTCTCTGTGGGTTCCTACCCAGAGCCTTGCTTAAGGCAAGTTCCTGAAAATGGCTGAGTACTTGATAATGAAGGGAAAGAACTGGGAGGGGAAGGGCAGAGTGGACATACAATATTAAAGTGAAGGTGTATTCTAGATCCCTGCATACTATCATGATCACATCTAATAGAGAACATTTTCTTACTATGCCTGGTTCCATAAACCAAAGCTAACAATGAAAAGATAGCATAAACACTGAAATGTTTGGGTTTTTTTTTTTCTATAGGAACTCAATGGAGACAGGACCAAGAGCAAGATTTAAAGAATGTTCTGAAGAACACTGACCAGGACATACCATTGGTATTTGTCAGTGGAAATCATGATGTTGGCAATACTCCAACAAGACAAACAATAGATAATTATTGCAAGAACTGGGGAGATGACTACTTCAGCTTTTGGGTTGGAGGTGTTTTCTTTCTTGTGCTGAATTCTCAGTTATATTTTGATTCTTCCAAATGCCCTGACCTAAAGCAGGCACAGGATGTGTGGCTCAATGAGCAACTGGCTGTTGCTGAAAAACAGAAATGCAAGCATATAATAGTATTTCAGCACATCCCTCTGTTTCTGAGAAATCCAGATGAAGACCATGACTACTTCAACTTGGAAAAATCAGTTCGTCAAGAGCTAATGGAAAAGTTTCAAAAAGCAGGTATTTTCTCAGTTTTTCCTGTTTTTGAATTTTTGTTTCAAATTATTGTTGGCTACTGTCAGACAAAATACGCTAACTTAAATTACTGTTTTAAAGCCTCATTGTTCCCCATAGGTTAAAATTATCAACTGAATCTAATTACCTCTACAAAGTACAAAACAAAATTTAAAACTCTGAGTGAAAAGTAAAAACTGAAAGTGAAAAACTCTGTAAAATAAATAGCAAGGATTCCATTTTGCAAGTACTGATAGTTGTAAGACAACATGAGTTTTTCTCCTCTAAGGAGTGGAAGATCAGGTATTGCCATAGGAGAAAAATACAGAATTTATGTTTTACATAAAACGTGGAAACAGAAGTCAGGATTACCTTGGAGGTTGTTTTCTCCCACACTGAGCCAGTTTTAAACCAAGAGCGCTCCAGATTTATTCAGTGTTAAAAAAAGAGTCTTGCTCTGCTAACATCAATCTTTTGCATATCCATTACTAGTAGGGGCCATTTCTGGGATGAGTTCCACCTGCCCTTAATCCCTAAACAAGTATATTGTACCAAATCCCTTAGGTTTGTTTGATGACACTTCAGTGCTCTGGAGGCAGACGCAGTACGCAGCTACTTCTCCATGCTGTTCCCATTGGTTCCTGATAATTGCATTCATGTTCCTGGGGTGTGCTAGTCCTTCAGAATTTCCTGCCAGCCTGCCATCACTGCTTTGGAGTGTCATTTTCTCTATAAGAGAGCACGTTATTTGGATTACTGAACAATGCAAATTGTTTATGATATTGTTCCTAATTTACCATATAATTGTTAAGCCTGGGTTCATCCAAAACCAGCCTGATTTCCAAGCTCTGAATCTCCTGCTGTTTCCAATCAGCAGGGCCAAAATGCACAGCTATCTGAAGGCTCTCCAAGGGACTGACATATTTGCAGATTCAAAATTTACAAGTGGTTTTTTTTTTTTCCCATAAGGAGACATGCTGAGAATACCTCATAATGTCTATCTTAATCTTTGTGCTGGTGTTAATATAGCAGGAAGTATTGCTGTTGGGAAGCTGGTCAGCTAAAAGGCTGCTTACGTACTGTTTACCAAAAACACATCCCAGTTCAGTGGAGAACTTGTTAGCAGAAGAACATACAGGTGTATTCCAGTAAATAAGCATTAATGTGGAAAACAAAGCAGTTCTTTTCTAGAATTTTCTGTCATCCAGATTGTTTACTAACATTTGGCAACACTCAGTACTGATAATATAATTAATCAAGAAGTAAAAGAAATTATGCAAAATGTTGTAATTTTCCCATTTAGTGTTCTTAGGTTATCATGTTTGGTAGAGGGATATTTCAGACTCATTCTCCTAATGTGTGTCTAGAGGCTTCACCAAACGTTGGGTAGGCTTCACATGATGGGGGAAAGGAAGAGAGAATGGGAAGCCAGCAATACAAGACAACTCTGCAGAAGAAATTCCCAGACTCTATCTGTGGCAACATACGATTTGTACCTTCCCTCCATCCTCTCTTATTGTCACTCATTTCCATCCTTGTAAGTCCTCCCAAAATGACGTATTGTTTGGTTCCTTCATTAATATGTTGACATTGATCTTTTGCTTGCTGTTTCATACAATAAGTGAGTCAATAGGTAATACTCACAATCCAATAATCAAACATTTTTCTAATTAAATGAATATAGAGAGCAAGCAGCTCAGTGTAACTTAGACTGCTGAGAAAAATTAGCTGAGTCAAAAGTTGGCTCAGTTTCCTTAGTAATGGGTGTGTTCTGTTTCCATTTTATTAGTCAATTGAAGAACAGTCTTTGTAAAGCCACAAAATATTGTCAGTGGATTGCAAACAGGCAGTTTTCATGGTAGGAGAGATGCACAGATAGGCGGTGGCACCACTTACTTCCTGACTCTCTGCTTTGCCAAAGAAAAAATTTGAGCTTATCAATAGACATTAAATTGTTTTTTCCCCAGTTTGCTTCATACATTCTTGGAGGATTAAAACACAAAATATTTCTAGTGAAATCCGAATCTACTTTGCATTTTTTTGTGGGTGTTTTAATTATGATCTGCAGTATAAGAAGGCTAACTCCTTAGAGCACTTAATTTAGAAATTGGGTATAACAATTCTGGAAAAAGAAAGTGAGTCTGCCTTTTCAGTGAGTCCACTGAGCTGCTGCTGTTCTTCCCCGACCTGTCACCCGTCCTTTCTCCCTTCCTTCTGCTCTCTTGCGCTCCGATTCAGTGTTTTGAGCCACTTTGAAGGTTTGTTGTGTAATTATGAACAATTTCAGTATAACGTGCATGTTTTAGGGTTTGCTATGTTTGGCAATGCGATGTTACTAGTTTGCCATCATACTTCAGTTGTTGACAACCCAGGATCAGATCTGGAACTATGCTAGTTTTCATATTTATACTTTTTTTTAGATGTGTCAAACACAGAGCTATAACTCACCTGGTTAGAGAGAGACCAGAGAGGAAGGACAATCTAGTAATTCAGGTCTCTCCATGAACAAAGAAATTCATATGGCTATGTTTAGGAAATAATCAGGATGGTGACACCGCACAGGTGTTTTAAAATGAGGTATGCAACTTCAGAAAATTATTGTTTTAAATTCAGAGTGCAGATGATCTGTAGCTGTTCTCTTCTAATCACTTACATGCTACATAATGGTTTTGGTTAAAGTATCCGCTCATTACAAGCAGAGATAAAAGACTAGCTGTAGAGGCTACATCTGGTACAAAGTACTGAATTACATTTCTCACATTAGAAGTGGCCTTAACAGTTGGGCTAATTAAAGATGAAATCATGTCCTTATGATAAATATTTATAAATTGAAAATCTGGCACTTACAAATATGTATTACTACTATGCAAAGTTAAACTGTACTTGTAAGCTGCACGTTACAGAAATCCTTCTAGCCCACTTTTTTTTTTTAAATTATTATAACAAATATTGTCTTTGAAAAAGTGATTTCAGTGACAGTGAAAATCAACTCAGCTGAGAACATAGTTTTGCAGGTAGAGGAGACAGAGCTTTGACAACTGAGGCTAAACTTTCAAAAGTTATACGAATGCGCTTTCAGAAATGGATTTTCACTTAAATGATAAATTAAGTACAGAAGAAACCTGAATGCAGGAACTGAGTGAGCTGAGCTGACGTTCTCATCTGTGAGATCTGCCGGAGTCACTCGACTGCTGAGTGAAATGTATATTCAGCTTTTAAGAATTTTATAGTGCTGATATAAATAGGCTTGCTTATAGCTTCACAGGGAAAATAAAGAAGTAGTAATGATGTAAAAAAATCCGGTCTGCGTGTCATCTGCCTGTGGTAAACATAAGTCACAAATTAGTTTTTAAATTAAGCAGTTTAGTTAATGGAAAACATAACTTCTTCTGGCATATCTCATTCCAGTATAATTTTTTTAGGATGCTAAAGACTTTTTTTTCTATGACGTGAGAAGTCTGGGTATTTTTGTTGAGCTGCAGACAATTCTTTGAAGATTTTTCTTGTCCTGAGAACCATCACTGACACACTGGAATTACTTACATTGCTTAACACAGCAGAGTAATAAATGTTTCTTAGCAGCCTGACTGAACTAAAAGATTTAAGCAAATGTCTGAACTTGTTTAAGAGCTTTGTTGAATAAAACCTAAATTAATAGCTGTTTTTTCACCAACAAAGTTGAGAAAAGACATTTTGGTTCAGAGTGAGATGAAGAGGATAGGTGGCCTATCTAGGTGACAGACTTTGCATCCAAGAGAGAATCACTAGATAGTAGATATAAAATATAGAAGAAAATTCCCTGTAATCTCCAGGGTTTTTTAAATTAAAAAGTTTAAGTTCACATAAATGTCTTTAAAGCAATTTTTCAGATGTGGTTAAAAATACTTAATCTATACACATAAAGAAAAATAACCCCCTAACTACTAAATGGTGTATTTTTTTCTTTATAGTCATGGTAGTAGGTACTGTAGCTTCTAACACCTTTATTAATTGAAATGATGTGACACCTACAATCTCCTCGTCATAATGTTATGACAGAGTAGTACTAAAGGAAGAAGCTTTCTTAACATCCACAGCTGAGATGTGTTTGAGCACAAAATGAAAGCTTGGAATGCTGAAAGCTGTTGTTACTAAAATTTACCAGACAACATATGCTATGTTTTATTATTTTCTTTGTTGTGTAATCAAAGTTGACAAGGGAGTAATATTTTCTTCTTTCTGCCATTGAGACCTTGATTTTTGGCAAAGCCCATACACTGAGTAATCTCAGGGCTTGCTTGTGTGTCACTTTGTTGGTATTTAGGATAATTTAGATACTCTTAATTTCAGTGATTTCTATCAACCTCTTTCAACCTTGAAATTATGCACTCATGGTACAGATAGAGTGTCCAAATTTGATATCTATGCCAATGTGCAACAGTGGTATTTTAAGACCATTCCCTAGGTATGATAATGTAATCTAGCATGTAGATACACATAGACATAGACTTCTTTTTTTTTCAGAAATTCAGCAGCAAGTACAAATTACATTTATTTAGTGTACTACAGTATGTCTTAAATGACATTAAATTACATTTATTCTCAGATAAAATTTTGAACTCTGGCTTATCCACTGGGCTGTAGTTCTGGTTGATAAAAACTTCTTTCTGATCATTAGAGTACATGGCAAACAAAGAGTGTTTGGGGTTTGTGCTGGAACTCTGACAAAGCTTCACTTTCAAATGGAAAAAACAGCAAACCCAGGAAATAAATTCCACTGGAAGGGCACAGGAGGCATTCACAAAAATCAACCTGAAGCACAGCGTGACCTTCTACAAACAGCACCTCTAAAGGCTTCTTTAGACTAGCACTCTAGGTGATCTTAAATCACCCTCTGGCTGTGCCTGTTGCTTCTGCTCTGATTATATAGGAAGAACAAGTGAGACAGATCCTTATCCATATAGCTCTATTCAATGTTGTCTTATATAAAAATGCTTTCTACGTAGATGTACTTTGCAAAGTAGTAT